TAAAGGAAAAGAAGGGGAAAGAAGACTGGAATGATTATTGATCTTCTACCTTGATTCTTGGGCCAAACCCCAAGGCAGAGAATCCATCCCCAGAATCTATAATCAACCCTCTGCTAAGAATTTACTTGAATTCTTACCAAAATGACAATGTATTCCTCTTTTTCAAGGGACTACTGAACATGATACGGGCTGCATCTCCTCTTTTCCACCCAGCCTTAAGATGTAAAGCAGACGAGGGAGAGAGTGCATGGTCCCTCCCCATTTATAAGGCAGCTGCCACCAAAGCAAAATGTACTCCCTTTCCTCTCCTCCAAACTAAACAGTAGTTTGTCAAATGAATGAATAAGAAGAAAAGTGACAATTTTCCTTTATGTTAATAAATTGCTTTGGCCTAAAAAACATTAATCAATTTCTCTCCATAGCATACACACTTCCCTATACTCTGCTATTTAGCTGGCCTTGAAAAGAAAGTCACTTGCAATCCCCTTTAAACTGTCAAGACCTGTGGGGGCAGTCACATGTGGGGGAAGGGAGTTCCCTAAATCCCCCTGATTATAATGGAGCCCCCCTGTGTTTCCATAGAAACATAAAGCGTGTATTCCCCGAATGTACACAAAGGGGAGGGTGAGGAACATTGCTGTGGGCAAGGTGTACAATTACTGAAGAGCTGAGGTTCCTGAGATGTGAAGATAAAGGACTTAGGGAAGAAGTCTGGAGTGGGCAGAGACTGTGTCCCACATAAGATGATCATACCTATTATCATGTCCCATCAGTACAGCTGCCCAGCAAAGTAGCTATTATAATCTCCACATTCAGCTGAGTGGCAGGGAACAAAGAAACTTGCCCGAAGTCAACTAGCCAGTAAGAGGTGCAGCTCTCCCATCCAAATCCATGACTGTTCAGCTCAAAAGCCCTTACTCCATCATCTATCTTAGGCTGCTATGACAATGACACAGGTCGTATTCTGTCTCCTGACTCTTTTCTTCCTCAGCCCGCCAGGTTTGTACACATTCTGGAACTGCTCAGAATTATTTTTTCTAATAAGTAATGGGACATTTGTAAATCTGATGAACTCAAGTGGTTTATTGTTGTTACGTGTTTGCCTATTTATTTGTTTGCATTATGAAGTAAGAAATGTCACATATAAGGGGGGGAAGGTAAGCTGGTCTTGTAGGTGTGTGTTTGTATAATTTGGTAGGAACATATGGATGAAGAACTAGAAAGCGGGGGTAACTGAGAAAAATAAGCATATTTTGAAAGCAATTGTTAGTTTAATCATCTGCTACCGGGAACACTGGAAAGTAAGATCCACAGGGACAGTATTCAGATCTGCCTAGCTCACTGTCATGTCACTAGAACCTAACACAGGGGATGGGTGGGTGGATAGATGGGAGCTACTAGCACGGAGGATTGTACGCTGAGCCAGGGATACCCATTCTCCTTAGCTCTACCTGATGCTCTATGAGGGAGATGGTTTTGCTGTCACAGTAGATAGGGCAGGGATTCTTTGAGGGTTAAGAGAACTGTGTATATGGATGTTTCCTATCTGTGAAACATGTATGTCCCTGGTGCTTCAAGGGGTAAGAATCAGAGTTCACAACTCACTGCTTTAAATTCCTTCCTTGAAGCAACACAGAGTTCATCTGGGACAACCCTTCTCCTTTTTTTTTTTTGTATATCCTTTTATTGGTACATTTTAGGTGTACAACATAATAACATTCATCATTGGAGATATGCACCTTTACACACTCTCTTGGTTATTATTTTTCCCTCTCCCCCTGCTCTCCCTTCAACCCCTCCATCCCTCCCTATTTACAAAGACTTTGTTTTCATTTTTTCGATTTCTCACACTAATTCCATTCCCCTCTTTCCTTTCCCCTACCCCTCCCACTTCCCCCTCCCCTTTGCCCCTTTTCTTCCTATTTCACATTATCTATTATACCTTTTAGTCCTTATTTACACTTTCAGTTTCTCACACTAGAGAAACTATTTGGTATTTACACATGTATGTCCTATTTATTTCACTTAAGAGTATCACCTCAATATGTATCCATTTAGCAATAAATGTCTCTAATTTCTCATTTTTTATGGCTGAGTCATACTCCATTTTATTAAAAAAACCACATTTTCTTTATCCAGTCTCCAGTTGATGGGTATTTGGGCTGTTTCCAAGTTTTAGCTATTACAAACTGTGCTGCTATGAACATGGGTGCACATATATCACTGTGGTATGACTCTTTTAATTCTTTGGGGAAGATCCCCAGCAGTGGAATAGCAGGGTCAAATGGGACTTCCAGCCCTAGTTCTTTGAGGTATCTCCATACTGATTTCCACAGTGGTTGCACCAGTCTACACTCCCATCAGCAGTGGAGCAGGGTTCCTCTTTCCCCAAAGTTCCACCAGCATTTGTTGTTGGTTGATTTCATGATAGTAGCCATTCTTTCTGGAGTGAGGTGGAATCTCAGCATTGTTTTCATTTGTATCTCTCGAATGACCAGTGATGTTGAACATTTTTTCATATGTTTATTTGATATGTCTACTTCTTTGTGTGAGAAATGTCTGTTCATTTCAGATGCCCATTTTGGGATTGGGTCTTTAAATTTGGGAGGTCTGATTTTTTTAAGTTCTTTATAGATTCAAGATAGTAGACCTTTGTCTGAGGGACCGCTGGTGAAAATTTTTTCCCACATTGTGGGTTGGGACAACCCTTCTGAATCCACCTTCTTAACCAGCTACTGGAGAGACTAAAGCATGGATAGTACAGACAGAAACCCACTCCATCCCTCAAGACAAATCAGGGTGCAGTACCATGGTGCATCTGGAAATGTGAGACTCAGTGTGCCAGTCTGTGGATGCCTTCACCTACTGACCTGGAAGATATTTGGCTTTGACTGAAAGGTCATTATTGAAATGGGCTAGCACTGACTGAAGACAGAGCCACTGGACTAGCAGTGTCAACTGGGCAGGGAGAGTGTCAATCTCTCTACTGTTCCTTTCTCAGAACCAAGGACAGGGCCCGGGACACTGAAGATGATCAGTCAATGTTTGTCAAATGCTGCAAGCTATGTATGCAGATGTTTTTAAAACTTAACTGAGGTCCTGGGAGTAGGTACCACACTCATTCTGCACGAAAATGGGAAATGACTTCCCCAAGATCTCACAGTGGATAAACTATGAAGCTTGGCTTTAAAAGATACAGCCTGTGTTGCATTTATTATACAGGTCACCTAACTAGGATTATGTTCCTATAGAGAGGATCAGGAAGGAAGAGAAAGCGAAAGGATAAAAGCAGAAGAGAGGAAAATCTGGGTGCTGCTTTTCCAAAGTAGAGAAATTAAACAATTAGACATCCTTCCTCAGTGCTCCCTAAGAATTGATAATTCATCTTCTCAGCTACACAATAGGCCAGTCTGCCCTTCTGTCTTTTCAGCCTGCATCTTCTAACTCAGAATGCTTGGTGACAAGGCACCATTTGAGGCTTCATTAGTCACATGTAGCAATGGTGATTTATCTTTTCAGCAGCATTCACTGTGATGCTGAGCTCTGGAAGGTGGCATAGAGATAGCAGACAAGGGCAGGTGGCCCTCTAATGATGACTAGTTTTCATCCCTTGCTGGGTATAAAGGCCTTAGCCAGCCATGCCACATCGCAGAGCAATGTGAAGTTTTTCGTCTTCCACATACCACCTTTCATTTTTCTCCTGGCTAAACAAGGAGGATGTACTGTTTTCATGACTCTGCATTTCCTCTCCTTTCTACACTCCCATGCTGGGTCCTCATCCTTAGATCTTCTGAGAGCCCTGGGATGATACCAGGTAACAAACACATCTAAAAGCTTAAGAGCCTCCCTACAAGCACCGACACTGAAACCTCCTCCAGAAGTCAATCTCCTAGGGAGGAAAGTGAACAATTAAGGACACAGGGAGCCCCGCAAAGCCTGCAGGGCTGTCTAAGAGGATTTGTTTCCTCTGATCCTGCTCTTTCGGTTCTGGGGAGGCTAAGCAGAGGAGACAGGTTGAGTCCCTGAGGCGTGGTTCCCAGAAACACAGAGGTCAGGGGTAGCCTCAGCCCCTACCCCTCCCAGGCCAGAGCTCTAATCCAGCCCCTAGACTTTGGTTACATTGCTCCCTGAGATGGGGACCCGAGGCCTAAAGCCCCCCTCTGCATTTCCACAAAGGTCCTGGGCTGGGCTTCATATCTACCTCACAGACCTTGGTGTTAGGCAACACAGTACAATGGAGTCTGGACATTAATGACTTCAAAATGCACAAATAAAATAACAGAAAAGGAGGGTGTTAGGAAATGTCCATCAGTAGAATATTTAAATCTATCTGTATTGAGGAATAGCATGAGGTAGTCATATATGTAAAGCTCTCTAAGACACATTTTTGAGAAGCCATTCAAAGAGCAAGGCATGGCACATCGGTAGTGATAATGGTAATGACGATTAAAACAGCAGCCAGAATTAGCACAAAGAGAAGGCTGACCACAGGTCAGACACTGCTCTGGGTACATCATTTATATAGGCTCAGTCTAAACGCATTAATTCCAAAGAAAGCCTTTGCGATAGGTGCAATGATAACTTTCATTTTACAGATGAGGAAACTCAGCTCAGTTTTATTCTGTGTTCCCTTATGTTATTTAAATATTTTATAATGAGGCAGTTTTCATGAAAATGTGGAAAAACAATACTAACAATGAGAAGCATTAAATAAATGCAAGAGAGAGGGAGCATCAGTGTTTATTGAACACCTACCATCAGGCTGTCATGTTACGTGTCTTACACTTAATAAATTCCTTGCAAGGGAAGATTCTGGGTGTCAATTTAATTGATGAAGACTGGGGGTTCAGAGAGATGGTATAACTCTCCTATGGCCACACAGCCACTAGGTCACTCAGGTCTTATGATCATGCTCTTCCATGCTAACTGGGCACCTGGTGACCCTAAATCAGTGTGTACTGATGTGACTTTACCTCCCTTCCTATTCTCTGTGTTTCTAGTGTAGAGTATGACTTTCGGCAGCAGGAAGGTAGGTTCCATGAAGTTCTGCAGAGCCTGGAGGAGGTGGAACCAGCTGAGGAGTTATCGCCACTCAAGTCCCCAGAAGAACCCCCGGCCCCTGAGAAACAAGACTTACGGCGGAAAACCAAGAAAGTGAAGAAAAAGTGCTTTTGGTGGATCTGAGCTCACTGGGACCACCTCTTGGCCTCCCCACTCTGTTCCCTGTGATGGGGACTCACTGACCACAAGGCCGACTCTGCTCCTTTGCAAAAGCCCCAGCTGGGAGCCCTTGACCTGTGGAACAGAAGTGCATGGGCTCATGTGGCCCTGCTGGACACTTGATCGCCAGCCTTCCCTGAGTGTGTGCCACTGCTTGCTGAGCACTTCATGGACACTGGCATGACTACTGCTGAATTCCCTGTCACATGTGGTCAGGCTTCATCCTGGTCTGTTAAGTCCAAGTTCCCCATAAGCAAAACCCCCACTTCACTTTCTAACACCTCTGCGAGGCTAAGCCTTTCCTACTCATCTGGGGTCCATCAACCCAGAGGAAAAAAAGAAAGAAATCCACGTTGTGCAGAGCAGAAAGACAGAGGAGGGTTATAAGCAGATACCCCTCCCCAATTAAATAACCTGGTAGTTTCCTAAAAATGTCAGAATACATAAGCACAACAGAAGTGGGCAAGGCATAAACTTGCAAGAGCACTCTGGTGTGTTGGGGTCATTTTTGTTTATAATGAGCCCTTGATTCCAAATCAAGGAGCTGTCATCTCATGCTGTAAGGGCCATACAGTCTGTAGCACTGCAAGGTCTCCCCAGGATATTTGGACTTGGTATGCCCATCCTGTTCGACTGGAATTCAAAGAGGGTTTCCCAGTTGTAGTTCTTCCAGGATCACCTAACACCATGCATCCTTTACTGGGGCCCGGGGCTGCCTGGAAGCGGGGAGGGTAAATCTGGCTGGAGTCTGAATTTTAAAGATTTTGCAGTTAATTTATGTGCAACATTGAAGATCATGAGATTCTGCAGCCTGTCAGTGACATCTTTTCAGCAACATAAATGAGGCTGAGAAAAACCACAACACTCCTTTTTGTTCATTCAGCCCTTGACAGCCCTGTAGATAGGTCCAGACATATATGAATCTATACAGTGTCCCCTCCCAGTGACCAGACAACAGGCACCCCATTGAAGAAGCAGCAGGACTGGGGATGCCATTTTCATATTAAAGACCTTTCTTTCCCAGTTTGAGTTCTGAGACTGGTTCAGTCTTTTGAAAAGATCTCCACACATAGAAGCCCAGTCAAACATGCATGGCTAAACAAACTTCCAAAAGTAAATAATTAAGTAATTGCTACATATTCTTAGGGAGGAGGGATAGGATAGAAAGGCTGAGAGTCCTTTGCATTAAATTAAATTATCTGCCAGCCCCTGGTTGGACTGATGCTGTCAGAAAGGGATCCTAAAGCAAACCATACCTTAAATTGAGAAGGAATCTCATAACCCCCTTGGCTGAAGCCCCAGTGTCTCAGGCAGTGCCTCTGCAGAGCCCCGCACTCTGTGGATATGTGGGATGTGCATATCCCACTGCAAATTGAGACTAATTGAGCAAACCACCCAACAGTTTCAACTTTTCCTGTCACAGCGCTGCAGAACACAAAGCTATTTGAGGGAGAGTGAGAGGGAAACTTGGCAAGGAATCTCGGCTTGCACTATTTAAGTCTTGGAATGTCATTCAAGACATTCTTGTTCTGTTTCTAGTGTAATGTTTAAACCCACAAAATGAGACCGGAATGCATAACATCAAGTTAGAATTAAGATAAATACACTTGTCATACTTAAGAAACCACATTTCAATAAGATATGCTACCACTGGCTAAAAGCCACGGATCTTTCTTCTGTATCTATACAACCAGCTCTCAATTGGCCCCAGCAATGGAAAAGAACAGCACAGAGGGTAATCCAATAAAGTGAAATCATTTAGGATCTCTTATGTAATTTTAGCTTGTAGAGTTTCCATCTTAATTTGCTTTGCTTACACTAATTTTGAATGAATTTATATTTTCGGGTATCATGCTGGAATGAAAATAATCCTGCTCCTAGAATTAAGAGACCAGGCACCAGAGCAGTCTAGTCCACTAACCTGCAGCATATTGCTTAAGTTTTCAGAGCCTGTTTGTTCATTCTTGAATGAAGATAGGAACATCTGTATTGCCTACCCACCTTACAAGCTATGTGCACCTTCTAACATCAAATGAGCAGACCCACTCAGACCCAAGCTGAAGCATCTGCTCAGTTAGCGGGGAATGATGAGACAAATTGCAGGTAACTCACACAAAATTAAGAAGCCTATGTAATCACACACATATGATGAATTGGGGGCCTCACCTAAACTCTTAACAGAATTAAATAAAATTGGGATTGGAAATTATTGACATTTCTAGAAATAAAACCAACCAAGGCTATAATGATTCCATACCAAAGCACAACACTGGATTACTTGGACCACCTACCTGTAACTGGGAAAGAGGTCCCTTCTGAAAACTGAACCTTTATAATCAATATGAGGAAAAAAGCATTTGATAAATACCTTCTTGCTGAACACAAAGGATTGTTTCTATGTTTAAAAATCCACACATACATGTACCAAAACTCTACTCATCTACTCATGTGAAAACTGCTGCTTCATTGTAAAATATTATGAAACATCTACCACGATACTCTATAGAAATGCTATACTGGAGGTTATACGGTTTTATGGAGAGAGATTAATTTAGCAAAAATTACTTTTATAAAATTGAAGGGGAAAATATTGATATATCAACTTAAATTATGGGAGTTTATGTAGCTGCTTTCTCTGTAGTTAAAAAATGTGTACTCACTATCCTTGGAACTTAATACCAGCTCATCTGTAGAGCACCTTCTTATAGACAATGTACTAATAATATAAGGTTTTGTAAATTTCTAAACTGTTTTAAATGGGATATTATCTTTTGCAATAAACTTACATATTTTTCCTAGGTTTCAAGACTCCGTTATTACCTTGGGTTGATTTGGGTTATAAAATTTAAACTCAAAAAAGAAGTCTCAAAGGACCTTGGCCAGGATGGCTTTCATTATAACAGCTTTACCACATATCTTAGGGATAAACAACAGACTCAGACCTCATGTCACAATGGCCACATGGAGCCCTATGTGCCCTGGAATCAGGGAGGCAGCAGGATCAATCAGTGCAACCACCCCTACTTTAATTCATGGGCACACGTATTCATGATTTTCATCATTATGCCCGAACACCTGACTCTAATTTACTCCGTATTTTTCACCTCATTTTTCCTTAAAAGGTACTTTTGTATCACCCATACAAGGAAAACCAACATGATGTTCCAAAGCCAGAAGATGAAATGAAAATCATTTTATTAAATTCAAAAGTATTTAGAATTTTGAGGGCTGTGGGAGCTAAGTCTGTGACCAGCTCTCCTTGTAAAAAAGTGATATTTGCAAATATTCAATGCATAGTAAAGTCACATTAACACCAAATCTATTTTCTGCTTGACTAATCAGGATATTTGGGAGAGAATTAAAAACAAAACAATCTTCTCCTCATATCAGTTGGGTGTTTTTCTGCCTTGTCCATGAACCATCTAAAACCATCTTGTTTATACCTGGAATATGAGTCCTCCATTTAGGAAATATCAATTCAGGTGAAACAGAAACCACACAAATCCTTGGACATAAAATCAGAAGCCTTGGGCTTCATAGCCTTCTTTTTGCTGAGTGATCTCAGACGAGTGGCTTAACTTCTGTGAGCCTCTGATTCCTCTTTTTATAAAATGTAGCCCCAGCCTCACAACGGTGTCCTGACAATTAACTGAGGGAAAACCCTGAGCAAAAGGCAGGGCCTTCAGCAAGTGCCCCACAAATCCATATTCATGCATTTGTTTGCTGGTGGAAGTAAATTGCAAAAGAGGAAGAAAGATCCTTTAAGGAGGCTACAGTTTGTGTCAGAAACAAGATTATGATTTTCTCAGGGTAAGGAAGAAACTCTCCCAGGCCTTATTAGAGCTATCAGAAACCATGACAATGCATAAAAAATAACCAAGTGTGTTCAAGGACTCTAAAGAATATCCAGGCACATGAGACCATTGCAGATGGTAGTGTTTCAAGGAAATAGGATCTTTGTGGCATGGAATCAAATATCCCAGAAATGGGCCAGGGATTTACCTCAGTGGTTTTGCCGCCTGCTGCACAAGTGCAAGGACCCAAGTTTGATCCCCGGTACAAAAAAAAAAAAAAAATCCCAGAAATAAAAGAGACTTCAAGAGCTGGTTTGCTCCCACCTGGAGTAAGAGACAATTAAGTAAAGGTAGATGATCTACTCCCAGGTTTGCATCAGCAGTGAGTGCTGGGAGCAATGTAGTAAGTGGGTGGAATGTATGAGCCCTTGGCCATTCTAGAAACCACTCAGGCTAGACTTGAAACTCATTCTTACATCCACTAGCTGAGCAGAGTCCTCAATATGATCTCCACTTGAAAAGGCTCTAATTTAACCTGCTTGAGTCAACTTGCTAAATACTAAAAATGATATTTCTTTTTTTAGTTCCAGGAACCTAAGGTGTTTTATGACCGTTATGCTCACTGAGCTGCAAAAAGGCTGGAGCCAGGCATGGTGGTGCATACCTGTAATGCTTGCACTCTGAAGGCTGAGGCAGGAGGACTGCCATGAGTTCTAGGTCAGCCTGGACTCCACAGTGAGTTCAAAGCCAGCCTTAACTACAGAGCAAGACCCTGTCTCATAAAACCTTAAATAAAAGAAAGAGAAAAGAAACAGGCAGGAGCACACATCCAAACCCAACAATGATTACATCATGTGGGGTCTATGTTTGATCAGCCTAATGATCATAATCCCTTTTGGGGGTACTTTTACCTCAATTCCCTCCCCCGTCTTCTTTTAACCAACTTACAGTCCACATTCCTATTAAACATGCCATACCACCCCTTCTCTTGAGTTTTCACAAATATATTATTTCTCCCACCCTACAGGACCCTTTACCCATGAAGAGTAGGGATCCATCTGCTGGTGACATATAAAGCTTGGTCTTCTCATTGCCAGGGAAAGCCAGGTTCCCAGATCAACGATTCCTGGGTCATGATGCTCACCACCATGGGCATCCTGTTTCAATCCCCCTTTCTGTCTCAACTGGCCTCTACCGAAACTCCCCCAGCGATCTCCTCTCTTTCACTCTCTTTTCTTTCTTGTACATTCTCTGCACAATAGCTAAAGTATTCAACTGCAAGATTTAGTTCTGAACCAGGTAACTCTTTCTATTAAAACCATTCAATGTCTTCCCAATAAACACAGAAAGTGAAGACCAGGTCTGTTGGTGTGATGCAGATCCTCTGCAGGACCTGCCCCACGTCTCCAGTAAGTTCCTGGCACAGGACTGCTACCTGGCTACCCTCCAGTTGAATTAATTCCCCTTGGACCCTTTGGTCCCATCATGCTAACAACCCCCAGAGAATCTGGGGACATGACACTCTTCCTCATGCCTGGAACACTCCTCACCACACTTCTCCCTGCCAAGTCTCCAGTAGGTAATGCCACCATGACTACCACCACTCTGCCCCAGACCGCCCCAATTACTCCTCTTAGCCATTCACTAGGTACCAGGGACCTTGCCTCAAAAATCACAGTACAGCTGTCCTTATACATACATTTGTGTCACTCTTGAGTGAATGTATTTCTCCCTAGCAAGCCTATCTTCCTCAGATAGAAACCTGGCTTACGTTTGCTTGCCTTTGTATTTCCAGCTCTTGCCATAATGGGATTCAAATATTTGTTGCAAGAGTAACTTAATAAATAAATTGGACTTAGTGGGATGAGACCTTAAAAATGGTCCTTAGTCTTTCCCTTGTCCATCAGTCTTCACATGGAGATGGCACCATTAGCATATGCAGCCTGTCTCTGGGCTCCTAGGATCGGGGTCTTCAGCGGGTAATGTGCCCAAGGCTTCTAACTTCACTGTGGTCTACGTGGCAAGACTCCAGAATCATTAAGACACTACCGTCTTCTCCCTGTACCCTTATCCTGAATATTGACAGCCCAGCTTAACCTTGTTTCAGAATAAATTGGCATCATAATTAAATCCCAGTGCATTTTGCACATTTTACCAAGATACTGCCTTATTGTAGGAGAGAGAAAATGAGTTCTGAAATTAAAGCAGATTGTTAACTATTTTCGCTGTAATGTTTCTATTAAAATGCCAGCATTTATTACATATGACCTAGTCCATTTCAGACAAAATGCAATTTAAAAGAGACAGGGCTAACGAAAGGAGCATTTGGGGCAAAGTATTTTGTCTTATCTTCAACTATGATGAAAGTGAAAAGACAATAAAAAATCACACTAAAGGATTATTTGCTCTAGAGCAAATAAAAGCTTTATTATCATGAATGGCTTTCACAAATTCTTAAAATCCATAAGTATATTATATTAAATTTCACTCAAATGAAACCTATAATTTTTCTCCTGACAAAACCTCAATATACATTATTTTAGATCATCAGTCAGACACGGTGACCTCCACTGGACACTTTGGCTTGGTTTCCCAGGTAGCACACACAATGCTGTGACATCAGGTTATGCTAAGAGACAAGCTTCTTTTCCCAGGAGCCATACAGGCTGTCATTTTAATTGCTGAACTCCATAGCAGGTCATACGGCTCTTTCACTGAATGCAGCAACAGACTGAACCCCATCCCACCAGCAGCCACTCATGGTTGACCGAACGGACCGGAAGTTATCTGTGGTTGTCACTATTTTCTGTTTTCTTGAGTTTTTTTCAAATGAAACAATATACCTTCAGTAGTTGCAAACGAAGGATCAAAGAGAGCAAAATCAAAGCAATGCAAGACATCAACATTCACAAACACACGCTCCTGGCTTGGAATGCATTTCCAGGATGGGATCACCTCTCCTACTGCAAATTCACCAGCTCAGAGAATACTTCATGGAGAAGTACCTGTCTATAATCACTTCCTTCAGTATGCAGCCTCTTCTCCATGCCAGACCAGGAGCCACAGACGCTGAGAGAAAACTGCAGGTGTGGCCCTGGCCTCAGCAAGCTGTGGCCCACTGGGGTTGCCCACAATCAGCAGGTGTCCTTTTCTGATGTGTCCCACCTGGAGGTCATTCACCCTCCTTCTAACCCTCCTCTTGGACTATGTGTCATCATCTTCCCCTTTCTGCTCTGTATGTTAAGCTCCCTAAGAATCAGATTGCTTTTCTCACCTGGTAGTGCCCAACGTCTAGGAAGTCCTGATTTTGCTGCACTGCAAGATTTCATCATTGTGAGACCTTATCTTTTCCATGTGGTCCCTGTCCTGGTCTTCAAGGTCTACTTCCACTCCCTGTTTTCCAGTCTTGTCACAGATGCCTGAGAATCTAAGACACATACTCAGCCATGTCATTCTCTGGCTTTTCTGTCTCTAATTATTTTCCACCACCATCCATAGGCACTAAAACTCCTTTGCAGCAAACAAGGCTCCTTGGCAACTTGACTTCCACCTAGCAGTTATGCCTAGCTTCCAACTAGCTCACTATCCCTATACTCAACTCCTTGCCACTCTCCAAAAAGCCAGGAGCCATTATGTATTAGTGACTTTGCACATGCTGTTCCCTCGGCCTTTTCCGTGGCCTATCTACCACACGAAATCGGTTTCATTTGAGGTGAGAAGGGTGGCAATATACTATTAACAGTGGTGATAAAAGCTCTAGTTTTTTGAAGTTACAATGGGCCATTACTAAATGCTTTTCTTCCATCATCTCATTTATTCCTCAAAAATATTACCACAAGGTAGTTTATGAATACAGCCATTTTCCAGTAGGATAAATGTAGAGTTAGGGGGAGAGATAAGTAATTTGTCAAAGCCCACGGTATGGGGTATGAAAACTGTAGTTCCTTCAGGTCTGCCCAAC